ATGGAATTGAAACGGTATGTGTTAAGAAAAGTTTAAAGCTTTTTCAGAATAAATGAAGCTAACATGCAAAGATCTGAGAAATTTATGACGGAAAAGGAGAAGAAGATCTAAAAGAATAATTTTCAAGGAATAGCAGGGAATCCCAAACAGTAATAGAGAAGAAATATTTCATTGTCGGACTCTCCAATATGTTTTTCTCCCCCTCTTTCGCCTCTTTCTTCTCCTCAAAATCGGAAAACAGAACATTCTCATGACCATTTCAATCTCACCGCCGGTGACCTGCAAATTTGTTGGATTAGGCATCAGGACGACAAGATTTGTCATCTAGATGGATGGATTCGGTCGGAATGGAAGGATTCGGCGTCAAGATGGTGAAGAAATGGTATGAACTACAGAATAACCTCAGCTTTATAGAATTACCAACGAAGAAATACACAGTAGAAAGTATCGTAAGCAGAATACAGAACCGAAGTTTTATTGGATAAACTCAATGTAAATTTACAATTGATTCTATGTGTATTTAAAGTAGGAAGTAGCCGTTTTAAAAATACAACAACCGCAGAGGACTAGTGGGCTTCGGTTGCTGAAAACTGCTTTAGCAGGTTTGCTTACATAAGTGCCATTATAGATAGTTAGAATGCAACGATGAGGATTTAATTTGATGCTTCAGCTCTATTACAGCCCCTCAAGTTGAGGTGATCCAAAACTGTCAACTAGTTCCTGAGAGAAATGAATGTAGAATTTGGAGGAGCTTTCGTTAAAATGTCTTCGATTTGATTAGTAAAAGAAATATGTTGAACTTTGATGATAGCAGATTGTATAACTTCACGAATAAAATGATGATTAATTTCTATATATTTTGTCAGCGCATGAAAAATTGGGTTGTTGGCAATAGATAGATCATATATATTGTCACAAAATAGAGGAGTTGTTTCTAGGTTGAGAGAAAAGTCTTGACAAAGATGATGAAGCCATATAATGTCCATGGTTGCAGCGGCAAGGGATTTGTATTCAGCCTCTATAGATGAGCGAGCAACCGTGATTTGTTTCTTGAAACTCCATGTAAGAAGATTGGGACCAATAAACACACAGTACCATGTAGTAGAATTGTGATCATCTACATCTCCTGCCCAATCTAAGTCTGAAAAGGCCTGTAGCTGAAATGTACCACGGGTGAGAAGACCATGGTTTAGAGAGCCCATAAGGTACCTGAGTATGTGTTTAAGGAGGAAATGGCAATCCAAAGGATTTGTGCATGTGTTGACAAATTTTATTTATGGCAAAGGCAATATCCGGTCTTGTAGAGGTAAGATATTGAAGCAAACTGGCTAACTAACAGACATATTTGGATTATGAAAGTCCTGTTGCAATTCTGGTTTTTTCAGACACTTGAAGGAAAGTGGGTTAATAATTGGTTTGTAACCTGCAATTCTAGCTTTGTTTAAGATTTCAGAAATATATGTAGGCTGAGAGAGATGGTAGGATTGGTGTGTGGTAGTGGCATATATTCCAAGAAATCTAGGTAAGGTTCCAAGATTCCGCATATTAAATCACAATTGTAGTTTGTGGCGAATATTAGAAATGAATTGTTGATTATTTTTGGTGACCAAGATTTCATCAACATAGATGAGAAAATATATATGAATATTATTTGTATCATATATCATAAGGGAGGGATCAATAGTGCTTGAATGAAAACCTTGGAGAACTAGATATGAGGAAAGGGTGGCAAACCAATCTCGTCGAGCTTGTATGAGGCCATAGAGGGCTTTTTTTAGAAGACAAACATAGTTCATATATTGAATATCTTGGTAGCCTTGTGGTTGAGTCATGAAGACTTGTTTATCCAAAGAACCATGAAGAAAGGCATTTGCTATATCAAACTGAAAGATTTGTCATTGAAAATGAAGAGAAATAGTAAGGAATAGATGGATAGTTGGAGACTTAGCAACATGACTAAACATTTCGTGATAATCAAGACCATATTCTTGTTTGATAGTTGGGAGGCAAGCCATTTAGAATATATATAGGATGGCATCTTCGGTATCAATTTGTCCACCAGCTATTGCAATATTATCCACCAAACATTTAATAGTAGAAAGGTAATATATCATGGACTGATTTTGCATAATGAGGGAGTGAAGCTCATTCTTGAGTTGAATAATTCTAGAACGGTTGGTGGAAAATAATCGGTGCTCAAGAGTTGTCCAGATTGAGCGATAGAACTCTAAGTTAAGTATGTAAGGGAGAAGAGAGGCATTGATGGTCGAAAGAAGGGCAACTAATATATTTTGATTAAGAAGTAGCCATTGGTTATATTGAGGATTTATGCTAAGATGATCTGCATTAGAGAATGTGTAATTGGGCAGCAAGAATTGGTGCCATCAAGGTACCTAGCGAACCCATTAACAAGAAATAACTTGTGAATTTGAGTTCGCCATGTTGGATAGTTGTCAAGTTGAGTTTGAATAACATTCTTAATGTTGGAGACAGCGAACTTTAAGAAAGCAAGAATGGGGGTTTCAGATGGTGTAGTCAAACTGATAGCTGGAGGCGAAACATTGGTTGATGAGGCTTGAGGTGTATCCATTACAATTACACAATCTGCTCTAATACCATGAATAAATGGTATGAACTACAAAATAACCTTCAGCTTTATAGAAATACCAATGAAGAAATACAGAGAAGAAAGTATCGTAAGCAGAATAAAAAATAGAAGTTTTATTTGATAAACTCAATGTAAATTTACAATTGATTCTATGTGTATTTAAATTAGGAAGTAGTAGTTTTGGAAATACCATTGTTTTGAAAATCGGATCGGACCGGTTAGTTCGACTAATAAATTGGTCTTATGGCCGGTTCAGTACTCCTGAAGAACGGGTCTAGTATCAAATCAGTCAAAACTAGTTTGAACCGCCAGTTCAACCGGCCAAACCGGTCGGTTCAACTAATAATATATTTAAATAATTTAATTTAATATAAAATATTTAATCAAATATTAAAATAAATTATTTAAATATCATATATTTTATTTTAATAATATAACTTCAAAATTTTAAATGTATTATATATTATATATTAAATATAAATAATCTTACTCACATGATGCCATAATATAATTTGAGCTCTTAACCCATGGGATACAATAAAATGTATATAAACAACACAACATAAAACTCCTAAGTTATATGGGACTAAACAACTAGTAATTTTTAGTTTCAACTTTTAACAATGTGTGCAAGAGACTTGTTTGAATGAGAATTTATTGGAAAAATTTTGTATAGAATATTCAAATAAAAAATCATCATAATAAATTTTAAACTTCTTAAATTTATAATTAATTATATATTTATAATTATTCAAATAAAAATAATTATTTATAATTTTTATGAATTTTATTTACTTTTTAGTCTCAAAATTCTTAGAATTATGAATTTTTTAAGATTAAATTGTCATTATTATTATGTTAATTTTATTATTTTTAATAATATTATTATTTATTACGTCATCCGGTTCGACCCCAGTTCAACCCCGGTTCAACCGGTCGAACCATGAACATCTCCTTCTTCTGGTTCGTTGTCCTGTTTGATTTTCACAATATTGGAAAATATAACAACCGCAGAGGACTAGTGGGCTTCGGTTGTTGAAAACTGCTTTAGGCAGTTTGCTTACATAAGTGCCATTATAGTTAGTTAGAATGTAATAGTGAGGATTTAATATGATGCTTTGGCTCTATTAGATGGGTGGCTTCGACATTAGGTTGGATGATACGGCGTGGATGATTGTTGAAGTCGCGGGAGAAAGAGTCGGCTAGGGCACGAAGGAGATGTATAATATGGCAGATTGAGGGCCGTGTCTTACCGGGCGACCCGGCAGTTTGCAAACAGCTGCTACAAAATACTATGGTAACTTAATTTTTAATGGTGAATTTAGCAATGTTTAAAACCGCTGTCTATATCTATCTATTGCAACAATTTTAAAATCGTTACTATAAACTGCTGTGAAAATATTATCTTTTTTATAGTGAATGAGCTAAGTCAGCTACATTGATATTAAGGAAACATTTGGGAAGATTATAAATTTTTTTTTTTGTAAAAGTAATTGTTAAATTATTCTAAAAAGATAATATTTTAAAAATCTATTATGAGTATTATAAATATATTTTTTTTCAAAAAATATACATGAATTTTTTATCATTATCACATATCAGGAGATATTATTGTAAAAGTTAAATTCTAATCAATTTTTTTAAATAATAAATATATTAAATTGCAATAGACCTAAACATGGTATTTTTTATATTGCATTTTGAATACGCCAAAATTTTTGACTAATTTAGCAAATTGCACAAAATAAATTCACGCATTAAATATGTTCTAATTTTTTTTTTTGAACTGTGCTTCTTTGGATGAATTATTATGTGCGGATGCCGAACACCGTCCAGAACCCAATGAAAATGCACTACATCACCCCCTACTCGGTACTGAGGCTCGGTGCTGGATGACGTGGCTGCACCTGATTCGTCTCTAGACCGTAAGCTGTGTCCGGTGTTCGCACAGAATAATCTCTTGCTTCTTTGGCTTAATTCGGATTCCGTCCCACTCCCTTTAAAAAAAGCCTCTAAAGTAACATAATGAACAAAAAGGCCCCAAACAAACTCTAAATATTAATAAGCTTCTATTATGAACATAGAAACTTCAAAAACTAGTAATAAAATAAATAAGTTGCTTCAAAAGAGGAAGAATCAATCATTTTTTTCAGTAAAGTTAGGCTGATACAATGAAATCTCAACTTATTCAATCTCTTATTCCAAATAAAACGCCGGATCAAAATCAAATTACTACTCCCAACAATTGAAAAAGAAAATCAAAATACTACTTAGATTGAGGTTTTATTTGTGACCATTTTTTTTATTACCTTTTAAATAACCTTTTAGTTTAAAAATTTTTTAAATGAAAAATTTTTATACTAAAAAGCTGTTTTAACAAGCAATAAGAAAATTGTCCCAAACCAAATTTAAATCTTATAAATCTTTAGATTTTATCTATCATCAGTCAATGGGAGGAAAGGTTGTGTTTGGCAATCTTCTGCCATTTACAAATAGTTTATAAAGAAAGAAAGCTCTTGCTGGCTGCGCATAAGGCACCATATGAGCAGCTCCTCTCACTGTGGCAAATGTCAGTATGTTTCCATACTCTGTCATCCATCCACCGACCTGTGAAGGTCCCATGGATGATTATATCTCAAATTTAATCTAAGAAAATTGAAATTCTTCTCCTCTGTAACCTTACTCGAGAAAGAGAATATCCAAATACAAAACGCAAAGCTCTTTGATTTGTGTTAAGATTAATACACTTTATATACAATATTAATCTTAAAACAAGTCTTATGATTCTGAAGCACATCAAGCATTTTGCATCAAAACATTCTGATCCAAATTTTTTCTTTGTAAACTTACTTTCATTGATCTAGTTTCTATGTTATCAAAGAGGCTGAGAAGAAAGGATACCTGGCCTTTGTAGAACCAAGCAGTATAAGGAACGCTAACACCAAGTCTCATATCATGTGCTAGCTCCCGCATAAGTGCTCTAGTGCCCAAGAACGGCGCCACAGAGTCTTGATCTCCACTGCAGATTTAACATTCCTTGGAGTTAAATTTCCAAGATAATGGAGAAATATAGGTTGAGTATTGGAGTCCTTACCTGAAAACCCAAACTGGTATTCGATGTCTAATAATTCTTTTGAGCAATGGAAGTATGTTGATACTCGCATCATTTAGGTTGTAATTTAGGATACTGTCAATTAAGAAAGTTGAATGAGTTAATTAAAATTTTATATGGAACGTAGTTCATTTTAGTCTATTGGTTGAATGAGTCTCATATCATGTCCCACTACATGGGGACGGTTATATGTATTCATTTTCGTCATTGTGTCCTGTTAAAAGTCAAATCTGATTTAAATCTAATAAAGAAAGATCATTTCTAATATTTTCTAACAAAGTCTTTTTAGGTCTAGCTCTATCTTTCTTAACATAAGTCAAATCTAATACTACAACTTTCCTAACCGGATTATCGGAAGGCCTCCGTTTAATGTGACCAAACCATCTAAGGCGACTCTCTCTAACTATTAATATTGAAATACCCAATCAGGAAATTTAATAATGGAGATTTTAGCTGAAAATGTATGCGAATCATTCATAGAAACATAAAATGAATAGCCTTGATAAGCCTTCTTACTCGCTGCAAGTGCTCCAGTTATAAGGCAAACTAGTTCTGTTGGCATGAAGGGCATGCTGTACCTCTGGTAGATTGAAGTAATAGTCCCTTTCCATTGTCATGCACACATCAACCCCAATACTAAACTTAGAAACCTGCCATCATCAAAAGCTCAAAGAAGAAAACCATGCATATAAAACAACAAACTCATAAAATGAAATGATTCTTACGGTTTTTTTCAGCCTCAGTTCCTGTTTTACAATAGATGGATAGCACAGATCAAGGATCACATCATATTGGTTTATGTAATTTCCTACCACCTGATATGCTTCTGCAATTGCATCATTGCATAAATTGCTAACATTGTGAGATTCGGTAAACGTATAATCCTCAAAATCACAATTGTTCATTATCCTATCGCCTATCTCATCAGAAATCATTCCATGAGACCAAAAATACTCATAAGAAGCAGGAATATCCCTGTCAAGCTTGAGAAGTGGATTCCCAATCTACTCTAGCAAAATGAAATGAAGATGTATTAGATAATAGTTAAATAGGTATTCGTTATAGTTGTAAAGTAATGTTCAAAAGCTCATACAGCAACCCCTTTAATATTGAACTTGAAATTAGTTGAACGTTTGTTATGGTTCAGTAGAGCAACTGCTAGTTCTGGTATGTAGTGCCCTGTGGCCACACTTAATATTTTTAGTAAGAAACTTTTCTGAGGAGAATTCATGTAATTATATAAGGAGAATAGACCTGCATAGCTTTCTCCAGTAAGAAAAAAGTCTCGAGTTTTGAAGTCAGGGAACTTCTCAAACCACCGTATTAAGAATATATGCATATCACTAGCTTCAACGTTCAAAAGATCAAAGAAATCAGATTAGTTCTATAATTCATTTAAGATGTTCAGCAGTTGATAATTTAAAGAGAAAATGCATAGAAATCTTACTTGTAGATTTATCACCACAAGTGTAATCTGAAGTTCTGTTTGAGTATGACCATCCAACTCCAGCAGGTGATTCAACAAACAGAAGGTTTGAAACTATGTATAGCAAATTGATGAAGTCAATGAAGTTTTGCAGTTCAGTTAACTAGAGAGAGAAAACAATTATAGTTGAAGAATAATCTAATTAGCTTGTTTGACTGACTAAAAGAGAACCTTTATTCCAAGAATGCTTATTTAATCGGAGGCCTCGGCCATCCCCTCTAGGGAAGAATGGTCCCAGTTCAGTGAATGCACCTCCTCCAATTGAAGAGCATCCAGGGCCTGACAATAAACTTTTACTTAAAAATATCAATATTAGATGGATGCCATTCTTTAAAATCGAAAAGATTTCTTCTTTAGCTAGCCAATAAGAAGCAACATGCAAAAAGAATCATCTCACCATGAGGATGGTCTAGCAGCATTTCCTAAGTAGGTGATTTTGCATCAATAATCATCATTACAAGCAAAGGAAACACGTGAAGCTAAGCTTTAAAAACTCAAGAATAAGAGAATTCCAATGAAATCTGGCAACATAATCCCATCTTATTGATTGCAGTTAATAGCATGTTTGGTTAAATTTGAGAACAATATCGCTTCAGAATATTTTTTGTTTTAAAATTTAAATTTCAGTTAAATTGACAAATTTTACTCTATTTCGTAAAAGAATTCCCTTCTTGATCACTCAAGGGAGAAAAAAAATATTTGATGAGAATTCTAACCTTTTTTTTTTCTTTTGAAGGAAATATATTACTTAAGCCATGTGTTTGAGCATAAACATGGAGAATATTGATTGCATTACTTCAATATCCTTTAGCTTATGACTTGTCCTTTCATATTCTTTTCATCTTTTCAAGATGAAAGTTGGATAATTATTCCATCCTATCTTTAGAAGAAAGTAGAAATTAGGCTTTGTTTGGTAGGCTTTCCATGCTTGGCGCTGCATAGGGCGGCCATGAAAATAAATTGATAATCCATCATCTGGCACACTCTACTATAAAAGTAGCTTTTCTGGTTGCTCATGAATACATCAGTGCCTAAGAAAGTAAAGCCCTTATACCAATTTTCAGAATGCAACAAAAGCATAGACTCAGTTTGATACAACAATAACTAGCCTTTTTCCCACTATATGGGGTTGACTACATGAATCATTTTTCTCCATCATGTTCTATTAAAAATTAAATTACATTTAAATCTAATAAAAAATGTCATTTTTAATACTCAAGTCTTTTTAGGTCTAGCTCTACCTTTCCTAACGTAGACCGAATTTAAAAGATCTACCCTCTTAACAAGGTCATCAAAAGGCCGACATTTTATATGACAAAAGCATCTAAGACAACTCTCTCTAATCTTATCTGCCACTAGAGCTACTCGTATATACTCATTTCGTATTCTATCTCTAAGTGTAAAACCACTCATCCCCCTAAGCATCCACATCTCTGCAACACTTAACTTAATTTTATGCTTCTCTTTTAATGGCCAACATTCCCAGTTTAATAATAATTGAAAAAAAAGTAAAACACGTAAATAGAAGATATTCAACCTAATGATCTGTAACTAAATAGGATGAATGGGCCTCTAAAATTGCTCGCAAAGTTCCTTTTAGAAATCATCAATATATAAGTTTTGAATTGAATGTGCTAATTCGAAACTTAGCAAGGAATATTATCAAATGATTGTCATATCTTACCTTTGTAAATTTCAGTCATAGCCAATGAACAATAGAAATAAAATAATATCATCTAGAACTTAGCATTTCATCTTCTAAAATTTCCCCTCTTCCTCCCTAAATAGTGGGGCAAAACTATTTTTTCCGAACCACTGGGGATGATATTTGACGAAGAATTGACCAAGAATCAAGAGAGAAATATTCCTCTCGAGGAAGCACGCATTGCAACTATGTTGAAAGATAAAACAAGTGTTAATAAAAAGTAAAAAAACAATTACCATGTATTTTTAAGAAACCAAAAATAGAAATTTCTAATCTATTTACCTATAAAAAATTTGAGTGTTATATAAATAAAAATAAAAATTTAAATATTAAAAATAAGAATAAATAAAAATTTTATGGTATCCAAAAGTTAAAAACTGCAAAACCGATGAAATGAATGCAGAACTACAAACAAGCTTCCAGAGCCACAGACAAACTCAGTGTAACAAATAAAATAAAGCGCATACTTATCCTTTCAATGCCAATACATAGTCAGCAGTACAGATCAAAACAGTAACTTCTCCTTGACATTAAAATAGATAACTAATCATACAGTATTACCCAAACCAAATCAAAGAGAGAAATAGATATGGCGCAGTAATCAAACAGTAAAAACCAACTTGAGAACACATCTCATGGAACCACAGAGCTGCATCAATAACTATCATTACAAGCAAAGGAAACACGTGAAGCTAAGCTTTAAAAACTCAAGAATAAGGGAATTCCAACGCATGAAATCTGGCAACATAATCCCATCTTATTGATTGCAGTTAATAGCATGTTTGGTTAAATTTGTGAACAATATCGCTTCAGAATATTTTTTGCTTTAAATTTTAAATTTCAGTTAAATTGACAAATTTTACTCTATTTCGTAAAAGAATTCCTTTCTTCATCACTTAAGGGAAAAAAAATAAGTGATGAGAATTCTAACTTCTTTTTTGTTTCTTTTGAAGAAAATATATTACTTAAGCCATGTGTTTGAGCATAAACATGGAGAATATTGATTGCATTACTTTAATATCCTTTAGCATATGACTTTTCCTTTCATGTTCTTTTCATCTTTTCAAGAACAAAGTTGGATAATTATTCCATCCTATCTTTAGAAGAAGGTAGCAATTAGGCTTTGTTTGGTAGCCTTTTCGTGCTTGGCGTCGCATAGGCTGGCCTTGAAAATAGATTGATAATCCATCATCTGGCACACTCTACTATAAAAGTAGCTTTTCTGGTTGCTCATGAATACATCAGTGCCTAAGAAAATAAAAGCGCTTATACCAATTCTTAAAATGCAACAAAAGCATAGAGTCGGTTTGATACTACAACAACAATAACTAGCCTTTATCCCACTATATGGGGTTGGCTACATGAATCATTTTTTTCCATTGTATCATATTAAGAGTTAAATTATCATTTGAATCTAATAAAAAAAATGTCCTTTCTAATACTTTCTAATCAAGCCTTTTTAGGTCTAGCTCTACCCTTCTTAACGTAGACCGGATTTAATACATCTACCCTCTTAACAAGGTCATCAAAAGGCCGACATTTTATATGACAAAAGCATCTTAAGAAACTCTTTCTAATCTTATCTTCCACAAGAGCTACTCCTATCTTTCACGTGTATACTCATTTCGTATTCTATCTCTAAGTGTAAAGCCGCTCAACAACTTGAGCATCCTCATGTCTGCAACACTTAACTTAATTTTATGCTTCTCTTTTAATGGCCAACATTCACAATTTAATAATAATTGAAAAAAAAAAACGTGTAAATAGAAGATATTTAACCAAATGATCTGCAACTAATTAGGATGAATGGACTTCTAAAATTGCTCGCAAAGTTCCTTTTAGAAATCATCAATATATTAGCTGTGAATTGAATGTGCTAATTCGAAACTTAGCAATGAATATTATCAAGTGATTGTCATAAATTACCTTTGTAGATTTCAGTCATAGTTAAACATACTGCATCCAATGAACAATAGAAATAAAATAATATCATCTAGAACTTAGCATTTCATCTTCTAAAATTTCTCCTCTTCCTCCCTAAATAGTGGCAAAACTATTTTTTCCGAACCAATGGGGATGATATTTGATGAAGCAATGACCAAGAATCAAAAGAGATATATTCCACTTGAGGAAGCACGCATTGCAACTATGTTGAAAGATAAAACAAGTGTTAATAAAAAGTAAAAAAACAATTACCATATATTTTTAAGAAACCAAAAATAGAAATTTCTAATCTATTTACCTATAAAAAATGTGAGTGTTATATAAATAAAAATAAAACTTTAAATATTAAAAATAAGAATACATAAAAATTTTATGGTATCCAAAAGTTAAACTGCAAAACCGATGAAATGAATGCAGAACTACAAACAAGCTTCCAGAGCCACAGACAAACTCAGTGTAACAAATAAAATAAAGCGCATACTTATCCTTTCAATGCCAAAACATAGTCAGCAGTACAGATGAAAACAGTAACTTCTCCTTGACATTAAAATAGATAACTAATCATACAGTATTACCCAAACCAAATCAAAGAGAGAAATAGATATGGCGCAGTAATCAAACAGTAAAAACCAACTTGAGAACACATCTCATGGAACCACAGAGCTTGCATCATAGGGACGAAACAAAACATTTTTTAACTGCAAAATCTGTACCTCCATTAAGCCAAAGGGTCAGAGGCTTCTTATCTGAATCCTCCTGTGATTCTACGAAGTAGTAGAAGAGACTCTTCCCTGCCTTCTCATCGACATCCACGTACCCTGCGAACTGCTTGAAATCAACCTTTGGCTGCCCTGGAAGTCCTGCCACCAAATGGTCTTGTGGCTGACCACCTACGCCGATTCCGCTACCCATTACAGCCCAAAAAGCCATCAAAATCCAAACTAGGAACTGAAACATCTCTTGCCTCAAAGAGAGAATACGAAATCCTTGTTCCTCTTCCTCCAATTCTCTTCTTTTCTCTCTTTTCTGCGATGTGGAGTGTTGAAAGCATTAAGTGGACTCCCCGCCATCATCAGTCATGGGGTAGCGTCGACTTATCTATTGGCATCATTCGCAAAAGTCTTTTTTATTTATTTTTGGTTAAATTAAGAGAATAGCCGATTTCATTACTATAAGAATAATTACATCTGAAAGATAAAACTAAAAAAAAAAAAAAATTGAAGTAATTGAAGGGATAGACAAATTTGTTTATAGACTATTTTTATTATATCACATGTCTTATATTCACAATATATTTCATGTATTAGTATTAAGAAAATGAGTATGTAATGTAGAGCAAAAAGTTATTGATATGATCATATTTTGGCATTTGATGTTAAGCAACTAAGGCATAAGCAAATCTCAATGACCAAAGTTCAATGGAAGCATCGGACAAAAAGGGAAACAACCTGAAGAAAGAAGCTGAGATGAGGCATTTATATTCGGATTTGCTTTGATTGAAATGTCGGTGATGACATTTTTCCAAAGAGAGGAGAATGTAGTATTCGTCGTCTGAAATTCAGGTAATTATCTGCTTAGAAGTATATTTTTTAATTAATCTAGTAGTTGCAAGTATTATTAAGTTGTTTAGATCTTTGAATATTTAAAGATTTGAGTTTAGGAAGTGAAATTTAAAAGTTCAATTTTTCTTCTGCGAGCACTGTGGCGCTGGATTGGGCGCTTAGTCGCTATGCTCTTGGGAAAATGGAGAAAATGAGCCTTTGAGGGAGTGTTATAGCTAAGCAGTGTTATTGTGGTGCTGAGAATGGAAACTAAGAAAGTTTGAGAGAATATGGGAGAGTTTGAGAGTTTTGCTGGAAATGCTATGGTGTTGAAGATTGTAGCACGACGACGTTAGGTCTAATTAAAACTTTTTAAAATAATAAATATAAAAAATCAATAATGCAAACCCAAATGCCTAGCAACTTGTCGAGGAAGAAAGGAGATGACAGGAGGAAAGAAAAGGAAATAGAGAATATTCAAGGTTAAAAGCCAAATTTTTGTCCATCTGGCCAACCATGAGAATTATTGGGCTCGAGGTAGGCAACCCATACCCCATTTCTATTTTTAAATCTGTTGTGTATAATAAAAGATATGTTTTTGAAAGTATTTTTTAGTTTTAAAAAGATTTTACTATGTAACTTATAGTACATTATTTTATTCATCATTCGGGACATTTGACTATAAGAATGTAAAATTTTATCGGTCGATTTATTCTGTATGAATTTTTTATTATTCTTGTATATGGTAAATTTAATGAACTATAGTACAGTTAATAAAGTATATTATTTTAACATTATACACAACCTCTATGAAATTGAAAGTTTCGGGCACTTTGTGTTGGCAAGTAAAATATGATGGTTTTATATACAAGTTTACATATGATGTTATTTGCTTAAAAAGTTCAAGTGCATGCTATATTTGCATTATCATGCATTTCATGATAAGTAGTTTCTGAAATGTTAAGGAAAATACGCTGGAAAATCTCTACTTGGGCCCAAGGTGAAAATGCTTTGTATTGGAATACTCTATTTTTGGCTTTGTAGTGGAATTATGTTTTATTTTGGTTTTGCTCTATTTTGCACTTATCTTAGGCAGGTGAGAGGTGGAAGATTTGGAACTTATAAGGGCATCAACACACATGCCTTCTGCATTCATAAGTTCATTTGCATATCTAAAACATTAAGTTGAAAAGTATTATTACAATTTTGTTTTAATCACTTTCAATAGTATGCATTGAATTTTGTTATGGGAAACGACATTGACCTATTGAGTTATATACTCACTCCTTTTTTATATCATTTCAGGAAAAGGTAAAGATTTTGTGAAGTAGGTCTAATTCAATAGGAAGCATAAGGCCAGATTTAGCAGTTATTTATGATTTTGTAGTCTATGTTGTATTTATAGTTTTGTTGGAAGTATTGGAGTCTGGACTTTTGTAAATGATTATTTTGGGAAGAGAATCCGTGGTTTGCATTCTCTGAAAATTTATTTTATAAATTATTGATATTTAGTTTGCTCTGGTGTATATGAATTTATTGAGGATGATAAATTTAGAAGTATAAGAAAGTAGGCTCAATTAAATTCCTTCTTTAGATCTTGGTGCAATACAAAGTGGTATTATAGCACTAATTGGGAAGAATTGAATCAGTACTAGAGCCTTAGGACAAAACTCTTGAGATGATATGGTCCATAGCGCAACATAAGTAGTAGAACTATATTTGATGATGCAGTTTGCTAGGCTAGTAGCATAATTGATAGAAGAAGCTCATAACAGGATATTACGTGCAAAAGGAGTGAGATAGATCATTATTTATATTTATTTTTAGATTGAAACCTCCCCCTTTTCATGGAGCTATAAAAGATAGGCTATAAAAGATTGGTTATTCAGATTGGAGAAATCATTTTATGGGATGTAGTGCCCTGAAGGCAGAAAGGTACCTATGAGAGTGTTTCTTCTTGATGGAGAAGCTAAGGACTATTGGATAGGCCAACTGAGGGAGAAATTTCAGGGTAGGATGAATGCTGAGACCTCTTGGGAGGAGTTTATGAAGACTTTTAGAGAGTAGTTTATTCTACCCTCGATGAGGCAACATATATAAAAGTAATTCTTGAGGCTGGTTTAGGGGAGTAAATCAGTGATGCAGCATGAATACGAGTTTATAGCTCTAACTTGGTATATCCCTTAGTTAGTTAATACTTTAGAGGAGAAATATTTTCATTTTTTAAGAGGACTGAGAGACAGTCTGATACATCTGCTGGTACCCTTTCATATCTAGGACTTTTATAGATTAGTAAATATGGCTATATTGGTAGAAAATGATTTGGCAGCAATGCAACAGAGATGGTATACCAGCAGGAGAAGATTTGGAGGGGAGCCCTCTAGGAGTGAATTAATTGGAAAGCAGCCCAATTTTGGTGGTATTTGAGAGTCGAAGAAGGAAATTTTTGTAGCTTCTGTGAGTGCTGGTGCATTTATATATGTTGGTAATGTCCCTCCTATGGATTTTGAAGCAGAATGCACTATGTTAGTGGATGCTTCAAGTATACGGATCAATATTTATTTCGCTCAGTTGGGTCACAATATAACTCAGTGCCCCCATAATATACGAGAGGGTAGATCCGAAGATGGAGGTAGTCAGATTTAGCTATTAGTGGTGGTTCCTTCGAGGGCTATTAGTAAAGGGACGACATCGCATAGTAAGAGCAGGTTGGTAGTGGAAAGCTATTAGAAGTGTAGAAAGAGTCAAGGAGCATCGATAATGCCCCTTCCATTTAGCCCAGTGTTTATAGTTTGACCCAACAAGAGGTAAAGGAAGCTTTAGATATGGTAACATGTATGGTTTATGTTTCAGAATAGACATGTAGTGTTCTTTTTTGGTCACGTGATAGTTATTCTTTTCTATTTTAGCACATTTTGGTTGTTCTGAGTTTGCCTCTCCTTCAATTATGTCCTAAAATGTCGATTATATTTCCTACGGGATATTTGATGTATATAAATAAAGCTGTTAGTGTGAGTTTGAGATTTTCAGTTAGAAGTTGGCAACAACCTTAATTATATAACCTTTAAAGGAGTTCGAATTATAGCCAGAATGGATTGGTTAAGTAAATATTAAGCTTAGATTGATTGTAATAAGAAGAGAGTGATTTTATGCATTGATGGTAAATTAATTTATTCTCTAGGAATCCGAAGTATTATGAGTTATTTAATTTCTATACTCTAAGTGGATAAAGCTTGGCATAAAGAGAGTTCTATTCTTAGCTTATGTGAGAGACCTAAGCAAATTAATTGAAGATATTGCTAATGTTCTAGTGGTGAAGGAGTTTCTTGCTATTTTTTTTAAGAAGTCATGTGGGTTACCTCTTAAGAGCGAGATAGAGTTTATATTTAAGTGGTGCCATATACTGCTTTGATAGGAAAAATGACATATAATATGGCACTAAGAGAATTACAAGAGTTGAATGTGTAGCTGTAAGAGTTATTAGAGATAGGATTCATCAAGCCGAGTGGATTTTCGTGGAAGCTAATATTATTTATGAAAAAGAAGGATGGATCTCTATGGACATGCATTGCTTACAAAAATCTAAACAAGGAGATGGTGAAGAAAAATACCTACTCCCAAAATAGATAAATTGTTTGATCAATTGGAAGGAGCAGCTATATTTTCTAAAATTAATTTGAGATCATGTTATCATCAATTAAGAGTGAAGCATGAGGATATTGTGAAGACAACATTCAATACTAGGTATGTGTAGTATGAATTTATTGTGATGTCATTTGGTGTGATGAGTACACCATCCAGGTTTATTGATATGATGCATAGGGCTTTCAAGGAATATTTAGACTATATCGTTATTTTATTTATTAATGATATTTTGGTATATTTAAAGTCTGAAAAGGAACATGTTGTCCATCTAATATTAACTATAGATATGTTGAGATAGCAGAGATTGTATACTAAACTTTTGAATTGAGAATTTTGGTTGACTTTTGTAACATTTATAAGGCACCATCAATAAAGGGTGAATTACTATGGATCCTCATAAGGTGCATACTGTGAAGGATTGGCTGAGACTGACATCAATGACTGAGATTCATAATTTTATGGGTTTGACAAGATATTATTAGAAGTTAATCAACGGGTTTTATCAAACCAAAGTTCCTTTGACGAGATTAACATAGAAGGTTGTACCGTTTAAAATATGTCAGTGTGAAAAGAGCTCTTAAATTTGAAATAATGTTTAGTGTAATCCCATGTACTTATTATTCCATTGAATATATAAGGATTTAAGCTATACATTGATGCATCCTTGAGAGGATTGGGGTGTATACTTTAGTAGAAAGGGAGGGGTTGACCCATACGCTAAAAATATGAAAAATAGGTGAAATTGGTGACTCAAATGATTGTCGACAGGCGCGCCGCATCGCTTAAAAGGTCAAACGCCCCCCAATAGCCAAACAAATTGCGCCGTTGTGATCAAAGCGTTGAGTTCACCTAAGAGGAAGTCCCTCATAATCAAATTAGGTGAAAACAATCAAAATTAGCGAACTAACACCCAAATTTGATGTGTGATGTTGTCAAAATGAAGTTCAATGGCGAAACACATTTCGTTCTTGCATTCAAAACATTTGAGACACCTAATAATGACTATAATTCTTCTCAATGGAGTTCACACGAGG